CGAGACCCGAAATCGGAAGCAGCTCAGCGTTTTCCGTTGGCCCCATACAGACCCCGTGGTCATCGCTCTGCCTCAGTTCCCCTTCCATTAGACCGTCGCCACTGTGTCGTCAAATCAACGGTCAGCGTCGTACCCATCGCCCCTCTTGAGAAGTCCGCTCCGCAGATCTTCATCAATAGCGACCAATACACGGGATCCACGTCCGAGAGCACACTCGGTGGTGCGACTGGCGAGGACAACTCTTCAGCTCTTCGCTCCATGCCTCCCGGCGTCGCCGGCGAGCAATGGGTGAAGACATGTGGCAGATTCAAATGCGAATCACGACGGTGACGAATCTGTCGTCCACGGAGGAGGCGGAGGGGCGTATCAGGGCAAGTCGGTTGAAAACATCGACCATTCTCACCTGGCGGACGCGATTCAGCAGAGTTCGGTGGCCGCGCGCGATGAGAGGGAGGCCTTTTCGGAGTAACGACCTCCAGGCACAGATGGTCGGGGAGGGAAGGAAGAGGAGGAGGAGGAGGGAGAGAGGAGGGAGAGCGGAGAAAGAGAAAATCTGACCCGCGGACTAACTCCCAGCTGGACGATAGGGTGAGACACTATAATTTAGCTTTATAGACCTCGGTAAATGGACTGTACAATCTGTGAAGAAGCCATTCTCCCTGTGAAATTGTTTAGGAGGGTGTATAAGGGGACAGCTCTTTTGTAAAATGCAAAGGTCCAACCATACAGTATGAGGTGATATGATATTGTTTTCTAAGAGGGATGGGTGGATGGACGGATATATATACAAGTTTGTATTAATATGAATGCACTGCATGTTGGAGGTTAATGGTCGAGATCAGAGCTTTAGTGACGCTTTGAAGTTTGAATTGCCACATAAGACATTTGGAGACCAAATGTTGTACGTTTATTGATCAAGGCATATCTGACTCTTAGAGACTAATAAAGAGTATATACAGCTGCTACACTGTGTGTTGACTACAATCTTTAGGTTCTGTTTTTTCTATAGGTTCGGGTGGAGAACTAGTACGCATAATGGTGCCTCTATTGTCTCACACATGACAATTGTAATTGTTTAGTTGATCTGTTAGTAGTGGTAGCACGTCTAGACGGTCATGTCTGGTGCTTGTGACTTTTGTTGTAATTTACATGGTAGCTAACATATTTTACATATGCTGTACAAAATAATTTGTAGCGTTTTTCAATGTGATGTACGTATGCATGTGTATAATGTAGCGTTGTTAGTGTTGGTTGCTCTAGCTACATGTGTGTGTCTAATGGAGTGACATGCCTGATGGAGTAAGTGAGTGTGTGTGTGTGTGTGTGTGCTGTCTGTAACCTGAACCAACGTGTCAACATGCTAACGACCACATTATGTGTGGCTGAAACACTATCCCCCTGACTAAAGTTTCCATGGTAATAGGCAACACTGCCAGTAGCTGTATACAAGTGTCTATGTACTGTACTACATGTGTGTTTCATGGTTGTTATGATGCCAGTCACGGTTTCTTGGGCGACAAACAACATGTGTGGGTAGACGTGCATGTGCCCCTGTAACAATTACCTATTAGATGTATACCGGTGCCCATTAATGTTGCTGATGACCCCGCAGCAGTTACTCATGCAGATAATGTCCATGGACACACACACACACAAATGTGTAGACAATGCATTTGCCTCGTGCCCAGGCTCTTTGTGTCCATAAACTTACCCCAACCCACCCCCTCCCTCCCTCCCTACTAATAGCACTCATCTCCAAAGAAACGTCACCCCTCTGCCCCGCAGTCCTCGTTTAACCCCTCCACCACCAGCAGCTCCAACGGAGTCCTCACGGATGCCGACCGCGGAGAATGGCTCACCCCCCTCTCTCTTACGTTCCACCAGAACAAACAGCAGCTGCTTCTCAAGAAAATGGTGACAGAAGTCGACTGTCACCAGATTCAGTTCAAGTTGGGTCCGGCATACGGGCTGTATATGATGACCCGGCATATGTACGGGGCGGAGTTTAAGGCGGGGCCGGGCGGTACCTCGGAGCGACGGAAGGCTCTCGTGACTGGGCTGAAGAGCATATCTTCACACCTCAAGAAAACCGTGAAGGTTTGTACAGTAAATTATACAGCAGTATACCGCTTACAACTCTCTAAGAACAAGGACACTGTTTAGCTTGCATGGACGCCATTTAGAACAAATTTAACCCCCTGGAGTAAGGGCACCTCATGACTAGCCAACAACCATGCAAAGACAGTAGTGGTAGCCACTTTGTATACAAGTATGCACCGATTGTTGTGTTTATTGATCAAAAGGGTGATTGAGTTAACTAACTTGCAGTAATAACATCACATGCACGAATGTGTGTTCGCGACATGTCTATATGCATGCCTAGTTAACTACCTAACAGTCTGTACTATATGTAATGTACGTGTGAAGTGAACTGAGCCAAGTAAGGCACCTTACTGTATACACCATGTGTGTACAGTGCACCAGTGCTAGAGGCTTGAGCCCCGATGCATTCACAGTAGTTAGCTCAAGGAACCTTCAAACCTACGTAACACCATCCACACCTCAGCCGTACCCGTAGAGTCTTATTGCGTCTGGTGGTTGCTCTGCTACACCTGTGGGCGGTGGCGTATGGTGAAGCGAGAGTGTATATATCACGTGTAGACACTTGCTTCGGGCAGAATTCCAAGACCATATCACTGTCTTTTTAAGTCAGGTGTCAAAGCTATTGGAGGGATACAGTAACATGTATGTTTTATTGATGCGAAGTATGCATACCTACCTACAGCTACATTGGCTGCGTACACATACCCTGACTAATGCCACTGGCCTATTTGGTTACCAAAGGCTCCTCCCCTAAAGACGTTTCGAACAAGTTGATCCATTCAGCGTCTTAGCTGTTCGCCATTGGCAATTTGTTGAAGCTGTGGTGGCGCGTATGAGGGCTGGGTTACTCTTTGGTCACCTTCCCACTATTGTCACGTTGTAGGACCACACAGGCTGGCACCAGACAACGGAATTGATTGGTAGCTCGGCCCATGTCTCTGATAGAAAGGCACATATGGGAACAGTAGATGCATTTCAACTAGAGTGTAATCACTCTGTACTGTTCATATGTAACAGACATATCATATAGCAAAAGTTGGAACATGTGCACTGTCTACGTACAACAGTATTGTATACATGCTAGTCAATGAGTGTATCAGCTGAGCCATTGAGTTCACAGCAAGCACTCTCGCACTCTCTATAAGCCCTCTGCCAAGATAACGACATGCCTCAGCTCTCTGGCTCGGCCAGCCGATGAGATAATGCAATTCCCTGCCACTCTGCCAGGGCATCTGGCGCACTCACAGGACTGTAGCAGGTGTGGCTGTCGCGTTCTGCCCTCTGATGCAGGTGTTCAGTTTTATTTCTCTCTCTCCGAAAGACTTCTCGCACCTGCTACCGCGCGATGTACATGGAACCACGCCTACCACAACCGCTACTCTACCAGCTCCGCCTTCTACTCTTACCGCACGCGGAAACGGTCGATTTGCGCAGAAAACGACTTTAGACAATAGCTGTTTTGTACGGGGAATTTGCTGTAGACCACATGCAAACACCAATAGACACCTGCAACGAGATGTCTATGAAAAATAAACCACCCGCAATTCCGCAATCTGATTGGTCAGTTGCGCGTGACTGCGGTCTAAAGACCTATACATTTGGCCGTGGCAGACCTTCTCAGAGGTTAATGTAATTAGATAGCGGGACTGCTGTCTGCCTGTGGTAACTGCTGTGCCAGTAATTGCACTAAATGACTGGCAATCGTGTCCTCTTTGTTGATAAGTGATGATTACATGATAGACGAAAGCATCTTTCATCTGTAATTGTGTTACGAACATATATGCGATTCATTGTTCTCTGAAGTTTATTCCTCTTTGTGATAATATGTTTGGCCTAAATAAATTTTGTTATTTTAATTACATGCTGTTTTGACTTCTGTGAGTAGATCAGCAAAAGAATTGAGTTTACAGAAGCCCATATATATAATTAGACACGGTGAATAATGATGTGCATCTAATTACGAGAAAGCTATAAAAACGGTAGTAAATCCCTAGGAGGCAGGGCCTGTCACACGGACGAGTGAATATTCAATTACTCACCATGGTTACAGAAAATTCCTGTCGTGTGTGGAATGTGTTTGTAGGGGACGTTGGGATTTTGACTCTTTGTTGATTTTCAATTAGGTATCCTGCGTGTCAATGTCAGGCACGCCCTTCTGCATGTACATGTGTGTGTAAAACTGCATGTACATATATCGTAACTATCATAAGTGGGGTATGAATGCAAAACAAGTGCAGTGATAACCGTGGCAATGAGCTGGGTGGGACTCGAACCCACAAAACTCTGCACTGTAGACAGATCGAGTGCATATTCCATGTATATACGTACATATGGACTCTAACGTAAAGGTAATTCTCTCCCTTTACTGCCCTTCCTCCCTCCCCCTCTTTCTCTCTCCTCCTCCCTCTCTACCCCCGCAGGAGTGTCGAAGTGACCCAGGAGCACTGGCCTTCTGGCTCGCCAACTCGAGCGAACTCTTCCATTTCCTGCAGCAAGACTACCAACTCGGGCCACTGTCCAACGACTACGACATCCCATTCACACACACAATACATCTCGTCTACAAGTACTTCATCACCTCCATGATCAAGGAACTCTCCGTCTTCCTCCCTGCGTTTTACGACGAGTCGACCGAGGCCGATCGCGAGGACACCCCCGGTGGGTACAACTCCGGTCCCGAGTCCGTTCTGAACCGTGTCACGGGCGGAACGGAATCAGACCGCTCCAAAGTCATCCGTCACTCTAGCATCTCTGGTGGTTACTACAGCATCACCGGGTCGAAAGTATCAAAGCGCGGTCGCTCGACGATCCACGACGTCTTACAAACGCTAAGTTCCACTATCACACTACTGAAGAGGTGCCACGTGAACGTCACTATCTCGGTGATGGTCTTTTCGAATCTGTTTCGCTACATCTCGACAAAGGTGTTCAATCGCCTGGTGGGAGGGGAGGTGAAACACTGCGGGCGCTCGCTGGGTCAGCGACTCTCCAAACGACTGGGAAAAGTCAAGACATGGGCAGAGAGAGAAGGGATGGAACTCCCCGCACATACACACCTGGAAACGGTCGTTGAGGTAGGTACTGTATGTTGAGCTCGCTGTGTATTCTTAGTCTCCATTTTTTTCAATCGTATGCTATCACGAAACTGAAATTTGGAACATAATATTGAAAGTTGTTGAAATTGAAATTTGGAACATACTATAATTTTGGGCCCAAAACACCAACTTAATATGTCTTCTCCTTCTTAACTAAATATTTTGTGTATTTGTTGTGTTTTCTGTTACTCTTCTGTTGTGGCTTGTTCACTTACCTATCCTATCCCTCTGCTAACTCTCCCCCCCCTCTCATTTCCCTCTCCCCGTCTTGTCTAGGCTGCAAACTTGCTGCAGGCCTCCAAGAAATACTCGGACAACGCACACGCCGTCTACCACACTTGCCCCCATCTCAATTCCATTCAGGTATTATTGTGTAACAATGCCACTTACACACAAGATAAATATCACAGGTAAACTTGAGATTTTCATGATGCCATTTACACACACGATAAGTATCACAGGTAAACTTGAGATTTTCTGTTTGTTGTAATGATGCCATTTACACACACGATAATTATCACAGGTAAACATGAGATTTTCGGTTTATACAAAATTATGCTGGACAAATCTTCTATATTGCATATGACACATATACGTATGTACATGATGCATGGAAGCTTCACATACTGTTTCAGTGCATCATGCAACGTATGCAGCAGTTTGCCACCAGAACCACTCTATTAAGGACACAAATTTTCTTGCATGCAATTTCCAATCCTAAAATAGGGATATCACTAATACAGACACTTTGTCTGTCCCATTGACGACCGGATTAGAGGTGTTGAACTCTAACACGACTGCAGGTGTCTACTCTGCTAGAGCTGTGTCTGGCGACAGACGGAGAAACAGCTGTCAACCGAGCAGTGGTGGACAATCTCGTCCACCTCGCCCGCGCCAGAGACGAGGTTCTGCAGGGGGAGGGGCTTGAGGTGCGAGTCGAGGAGGACCTCCACCCCGAGCTTCTCTTCCACATTCCGGGGGAGGGTTACTCCGGCGAGGTAATGACCGGGGTACCCAGCGGACTTCAGGAGTTCATACAGCCGATGATCAGTGCAGGTGAGGCGTCAACATATTGGTGTACAGTAGTACTGTTTCTAAGGACAACCCTGAAATGAAGACACCCCTTTGGACGCCATGGGTATCTGCTTAAATATGCAAAAATTGATGTATACAGTATTAGCGCCTAGTATTATAACCCCCATATAAATTCTTATGGACTTATGGAGGCTCTGCGTCCATGGCTGGCTAAGTGTTGAAAAATTCACCTTTCTTTTTCCTCGTTTCATGCAATGTGACCCTTGAAATGAGGATCTGTATAATTATACCTCTCCAATAAGGACCCTTTTCTATTCCCCCAAAACCGTGTCTTGCCCCCTGACAAAAGACACCTCGTTAATAGTTTATTCTGTCACATTTGTATCCGGATTAGAGGGGTTCCACTGTATACCATTCGATGGAGAATATCACTTGCAAATTTTATTCATTCCAAGTGTGTGTGTAGTTGTGTTATGTTAATCACAGTGTGAGTGCCATATGATCTCATTGTGTTGTGACGAGGACGCTTTTAGCCTGATTATCCCTAATTAATGCCCCTTTGACTGTATTACTCAGACCCAAAACACACACTCCTGCACACGTGCAATGGCAATTGACTCACCTACAGGTCTCAGTTTCATAAAAATGATAACCAAAACCTCGTAATGCACGACGTGCAGTTGTTGCCAACACTGTTTTGGGTCCGTTTATCATATGGAGTGGTTTATCTGCAATTTTCACGTCGTCTTTCTTATGTGTCTCGCCAGGAAACGGGGCTCCATAGTCTATAGATGGGCTCCTGATCCTAAAGCCCTTCTTTCCTTTCTCTCTTCTTCCCCTCTCTCTTCCTCTCCTCTTTTCTATATTCTCGCATTATTTAGTGGATTGAGTCTTTGTTACTATACCTCGTCCTCCTCTTTCTTCCTCCCTGCTTTGCTCCCCCTCTCCCTCCCTCCCTCCCTCCCTCACTCACCACCCTAATAGGACTCTGCAAGTTGACAGTGTCCAAGGAGAGTTCCAGAATGTGGTGTCCTCCGGTACGGAATGTGACCTCCAGTCAGTCCGCGGACCATTCCGTCTCCTCCCAGAACCCAGACAGTCAGTTCTTCATACAGCACTGTACACCATAGATTCCATATGCTTCGTACCATGTTTTGGAGGGGAAAAGGAAAGCCCATATATACATGTAGAAAGATCTGGGGTTAAGCTTATCAGTCCTTACATGTGTCTTAGTTTGATTAACTCGCTCGTTTTTTCCCATTCTCCTGTGTACATGAGCTGAATAACCAGAAGATGTCTACTTGCACATCAACAAAACACTATTCCCATCATTTCCCGCGTCTCTAATTAATGCCCAGCATCTCCTGAGGGATTAATTTGATATACATGTAGATTAAAGTGCAATGAAGTAATTATCAGGTGTGTCCCTGTGGGACATTTAACATTGAATGGGTGTCCCTCGAGACTAAACTGATTACTCCCTCCTTGTCACCCTTCTCTTCCCTCCCTCATTCTCCAATATCATTATAATATCATTCTGTTCTTTATAATATTACTATATGCACAGGTCCTCACAACTTCAATACCCTTCCAAAGACTAGAAGCAGATCTAGGAAATCTTCTGCTGATGGTGAAGTAAGTCACACCTTATGCGTAACAATAGTACACAGTTCTGATATAAGCCTGTATTATACTTAGCACTGGTATAGGGCTATATAGAGTGGAACCCCTCTAATCCGGACATCGGTGGGACGGAAGAAAGTGTCCATATTAGTGAGGTGTCCTTCTCATGGGTCCTTAGGGGGAAAAACGAGCTCATTTTTAGAAGTCGAGTTGCACTCAAGAACTGTTCTTAGGGAAGGGAAAGGAGTGAGGAGTCCTCATTTCAGGAAGGTTCTTACATCTTACATGTCCCACTGTATATCTTGTTGTTCTACACGTGCGTGTCTCTTCAACAGGTGCGTCACAGCACGTTGCCTCGTCACGGAGAAACGGACCTCAGGTTCATGAAGTTCTCCATTTCAAAGGACAGCAACAACACGTTGGGAATCAGCATCGTGGAGGCAAAACTCACCTCCAGCTCCGTGAGTGAAATATTCGGGGAATCTGTGCAATAAATATTTTATTTTATCCAACCGTTTCGGAGCTGGAGGCAAACTCACCTCCAGCTCCGTGAGTGAAATATTCGGGGAATCTGTGCGATAAATTATCCAACCGTTTCTTCAAACACGGTGGTATAAGTACGTAGTTATTTTAGCTCCATGGTAGTTGAATAAAATGCGTGATTATCTACTACATACGGCATGTATTCATCAGTAATTACAGCGCTACATTTTCTTTCACAGTATATCGACAGATTTTAAGTTTTGTACGTATAATAGCAGCTGTTAATAAACACGCATTTGCCGTGGAGCATACAATGACCACAAATGCACACTATTCGCCTCGAAAATTTGGAGCTCGTGTAAAATTTACGCTGGGCTGTCTGTGTATTTTTGCAGCATTCCGGAGGAGAGACTGGCATCTTCATCAGATCAATGGTCGATGGAGGCCCCGCTCAAATGGTTAGCAATAGTATATACTTTCAGAATATTTATTACTCTTATCAACTGCTTACGTGTGGCCAGTCTTCCTGCTGGTATTATGTGTTCAACTGCACTTTACTACTCAAATAGCCTGTAACCACAGCATGGTTCTGAACCAATCAACATAAATTGTATATAGACAAGAACATTCCTGAGTTTATATGTGCTGCCACCCTCCCAATTCATATCATACATACGTATCACTTGAACAGTTGCACACTACTTTCGCTCACTACTCTACACACATAATAAGTGTACATACGTACCCGGTAAAACCTTTACCGTAGGTGAATATTAATAGTTGTGCATATAAAAATATAGTGTTACGTGGTGTATTGAACACCTACGTAGGATGGCCGTCTACGACCTGGAGACCAGATTCTTGAGGTAGATGGAAACGACCTTCTCGACTGTACGCAGGAGATGTAAGCCGAGATATGTAACAACTATTCACTCATACACGTACTTACGTACTTTCTCTCATAGAGACTTGTACTTTCTCATAAGGACTTGCCTAATACTTTCATATAGGGACTTGCATATATACTTTCTCATAAGGACTTGCATATATAGGGACTTGCATAACTCTCTCATAGGAACTATAATTCCCATATTGTTACATGATCCCTGTATGCTACACATTATGCATTCTACGGTGGATTAGTTTTAAATCTAGCTACACCGTGTGGTTCTGTAGCTTTTGCATTTTTGCTCCCCCTGGACTACTAAATCATTTGTGCCTTATTTGTGGTCAGCTGATAACAAGGCAACGACAGGGGTTTAATTTCGCTGGCATCCACACAATTTATGCTGCAATTTTGATACTAGCCACCGATATCCGCTGTATTTCTGCTTTATTTAAGTGTTAGAAAAGTTTCCAGACGCAAACACACACATGGACAAAGTACTGCAATCCCCTTTGCTGTGCATGCTAACAGTGGGATAATAATGAATTCGATAATAACTGCTAGGGATAATTTACTCTGCACAGTCCAGTGAGAGTCAATGTATTGAGGGTGTTTGGTTGGCCTGTCCTTCTTCCAGTCTGCTTGCTAAAAGTACGAAAAGTTTAGGCCACCCAATTTTTGTAACTGCTTAGCACTGCACACTCCTTCTATAGACAAGTTAATTGCAATGTTTGGCCAGCCTGTCGTTCATCCCACTTGCTTGTTAAAAGTACGAAAAGTTTAGTCCACCCACTTTTTCACAGATCACTACTGCGGAACACACTGGGTGCATTAGTATACTCTATCGTCTGTACTATGTAGGGCGTCTCAGATACTGAGAAACACAGGGAAGAAGGTATCTCTGTTGGTAGCCAAGATGGCAGCTCAGTACTACGGTCTCTCTCACGTCACACAGTCCTCTCCTCGATACAAGAACGGTGAGTTGGAACTAGAGCATGTGTCGTGCGGGGTGTGAACGCTATAGGCAAGTGGATATCAAACAATTCAACTACACCTACGTAGGACGAGATTTGTCAATGAAGGAGTTGTCCTGGGTGGGATTTAAACTCACAACACTAAGCTCTCTAGGCAGAGTGCTCTACCAACCGAGCTACCAGGACAGCTCAGCAGGCAGGGCTCTAAGCCTACTGTACATGCAATACAATACAACACAACACAACACAAGGCAAACCCTCCTGTCTATAATTATGACTATTATACTGGTGAACACAGGTGCTATGTACAGTGTTCTATATTATACACTGCGTTTTAGGTTCACATAATAGGCATGTCTAATCCATGTGCTATTGTGCTTGTAAGTTTTCAGTGTTACATAAAGTTGTATCCATGTCGTAGTTTTGCTTACAACATGTGAACAGGCGTCGTCAACCAATTACTCATGTAAAGCTTCCGTAGTGTTGTAACGTCAGATGTAATAACACATCATAATGTCTAACCTTTAACAGCTCCCGAGGGTTCGTCTCATGCCAAGAAGGCTGCCCGGAGGCTGAAGAGGGAGCAGAAGGAACGCCAGAGACAGGAGCGGGGCTACACCACCGAGTTCCGTCTGGAGAGGAAGCAGCTGGACCAACATCAGTCTGACCACGCCCACCTGTCCCCGACAACGCAGCAGTCCTCCGTGACATCATCGTCGGTCACCGCCACCGACCCCCGATTTGCCAATCCCCAGATAGCCAGGTGGGTCATGGAGCAGAACACTCTGTTCAACTTGGAGAGGGGGAGCGAGGCGGAAGGGGGGCCGGGGAGCAATTCCTCCATGTCCAACATCGCAGACACAGACACCCACGCCAGTTCCCCTGTTCCAAGCTTCGCGACTTCTTCGAGTCGTCGTACAAAGAGCTCGTATGAGAGACACAGAACGGGGTCGCCGCCTGTGCGAGATACGTCGGGCGTACCGTCGAGGTTGCACGAGGGGCACTCGGTCTCTCCTTTTGATGCTCTGGACTCGCTCGAGGCTCAGACAATGTCGGACTCTGCAAGTAAGTTCTCCGACTACTCTGCAGAACCAGAATACGCCGCCCCTCCTCAATCCGCACCTCCGGTGAGTACAATCTCCTACAAGGATGCCTTCAACGCCAACAGCCTCTACTCGCAACAGATGTCGAGTTCGCTGACTCCCTACGGCCCAAGCCAACAACTGGACAAACTGAGCACAGACGTCATGTACCACACGCCCCAGAGCGGTGCGTCGCTCTCCGGGATTAGCTCTATCATGCCGAGACTTCTTCAGGGACGAGGTGGGAAGCCGTATCTCGGCAGAATCCACCTCAAGGAGCTGGACGGAGACGAGATAGACCTGGAGAAGCAGCGGATAAAGCTCATGTTCTACGAGAAGAAGAATGAAGAGAGAGCGCTGAGAGAAGAGGAAGAGATGTCCTTACAAGCTCAGGAAGCTGCCTCGCCTGAAAACTCTCGAAAGGTGTACCCCTTGTCCCCTCCCCCTCCCCAACCTCCCGTTTCGACTGCGCACCAGTTTGAAATCCCGACAAGTCTCGAAGAAGGCCATAGCAATGGGTTCACTGCATTTTCAGACACCGAAATTCTGCCTTCCGACCCCAAACAAATGCTGCGCGATCTAGAGACGCTGGAGTACATGGCCAGTGAGCAGAGAAGAAGGTGCAAGGAGCTCAGCTTTGCACGGGAGATAGAGAACCTTGAGTTGAAGAAAGCGGAAGTCGAATTCAAGGAGCAGGAGTTACAGGATCTGGGGCCGGGTGCGGGAGGGTCATCGGTGAGCGTGGCACAACAGGAGAGGTGGCAAAAGGAGCAAAAGAAGAGGCAGAGGCAGCTGGAGCGATACCGGTTGGCACAGCGCGACAAGATGCGGAAAATGGAGACCGAGGAACGCCATGCCACAGCCAAGCGGGAAGCCTACGAGTATCAAATCTACGAAATACGTCAGCAACTCGAGGCTTTGGGAAGTCAACCTTCCTCAAGTGCAGCATCGGCTGCAATTGTGGAATCCCACCTGCAATCATACTCTCACACGTCTCGTCCTTCACAGAGGAGCTTTAGCCGTACTAACAGTGGATGCAGCGCAAGTTTCGCCAGTGACATGCAGGCGAGGGAATTTCAACCCATTGCCGAGATGGACGAAACCAAACCGGAGAGGGAGTGGCCGCAGCAAGACCACCTGAAGCCCAATCCGGCTCGGTTCGTGAGCACTGAGAGCATCAACAGCTCGTCGGTGGTGGGTCCGACTGAGGTACCAGAGTTTAGTCGTGAGATCGTGAATACCATTTCCGAGTCGACCAACATGACCGAACCAACACAGGATGACGTTCCAATACCGACCGGTGGCTGGGGTAGTAGGTATGTGGCTAATAGCGACGACCCATATGCAGGGGAATATGCTTCGAAATATACGTATTCTGACGATGAGTTTTTCATGGACGATCGAAGTGGGTTCAAGTCAGAAGTTCCAATTGATGCCCACTACCCCTTTAACATTAGCTCCGAGAGGGAGGTTCCATATCGCCCCGACCACCAATCACCACAACTACTCAATGGGCACGTTCCTTCCAGTTACCACAATGGTGGGGGTGCCTTTGTTGATACTCCAAGTGGAGATGAGGAATTTAGACCTCCACATTGGGCGGGCGGACAGCAGCAGAGCAAAAAGAGACAACCCTTGCCCCACATGTCTGAAAAACATCACAGCTACAACAGTGGGCGTACCGACCATCACTATTCACGTAGCAATCGTCCCGATTGCACCACCGAAACCAGCAGCCGTCCCACACCTCAGACAACCTGAGTACTGGCCTATCCACTTCCTCTCCCAACCAAAATGGGGAGAATCTCAAGTGCAAGCCAAGCAAGATCTCATCACCTACTTCCACAAAGTTTCCGGCAGAAGCTGGCCACCATCTAACGTCTGCACCTCACCCCCACTCCCCCGGCCTCGGTCCACCTTCTCCCTCCTCCTATTCTCCATTTAGAGACCACCCTACCCTCCCTCCCTCGACCACTCAACACATCTACTCTGTTCCGAACACCTCAAGTGGCACTTCAAGTCCAGCTGCAGTCTACGACGTACCCAGGAAAGGTAACGGAAAATCGGCAACTTCTTCACCAGCCCCCGCAGTATATGATCATCCTCGACCTTCCACATCTTCGCCTCCCCACATGCTAAGCCACACAGCTCCTTCAAGCCCTTCCTCCCTCCCACCACCATCCACCACTGCTGGTTCACCCCACGACCTGATTCCTCATTCCCCATTCCACAATCCACCGAAATCCCACGATAGGCCCAGCTACACCACTGCCCAATCGCACCACGATCAACACTACGACGTACCCAAGCCACCACAAGTGGGGGTCCTCCCCTCGGAATTGATACGACATCCACCCACCCTGCATTCTTCAGATCGCGACCTTGCACGACAGACCGCTTCCAACATGGCGGCGCACCCTTACCAGTATCACGGACTCCCAACAAAGCCGATCGCACCGAGGAGCTACAGTCGGGGTCGTCAAGACTACGGGGGTGATAGAGGGGGCAGGGGTCAAAATTCTCGCCCCCCTCAGCGGGTTCAAAGACAGCAAACTGAACTTTGAACTTTTGTGTTGTGGATATACATGTATTATGCAATTGCACAGTGTTGTATACATGAACATACATTTTTATGACTTAATTTTTGTCAGAGAATGAAACGAGCTAGGGCATTAATTCATTCCTGAAGCTTTTTGACCGTTTCTTCCCTATCTCACTAAAATCATCTATTATCCGTTCTCCCTCCCACCTTTCAGGGGAAGTGCTGATTGGAGGGGTGTGCTAGTATAATTATACCTGTTCAGACAAGATTTAAATTTTATGTTACGAACACATGTACAACATGTACCATTAATATCCTTGCAAAAAGCAAAACAAACCACTCCCCAAAACTGAAAAATGACTGACTCTGCACAAAAAATCAGCATGGCAGTCATGTAAGGGTCATGTGAGTCATGTCAGGTCACAGTCAGGTGACAATCACTGAATAAACATACAGCCATGTAAAGTCATGTAACACAGTTGACGTCATGTGACATGTTTACACACACAGTACTGTAGAGTCATAGTCAGGTGGTGAAGGTCAGGCGACATCATGTGAAAGTCATGTGAGATCATGTGACTAGCTCTACATTTTACTGTGGGTTAATAGTGTAGGGTTCTCTGCTTGCACTTCTCCGCCTCCTCTCCATGTTCTCTTGTGATCTCCTCCGCGTTCTGCCAGGATTAAAGGCAGCAATTGCCGTGGCTAAAGATGCCCCTTCCATTGCGGCACTGGGTGACTGGACGCTGCAACCCTGCGATGAGCGATGGACTCGTGTGCTGTTTAAGTCGCCACTTGAATTTCGCCGTCTTCTGCGCACGTGCGGGCGAGACGACCCCGCTGGGTTACCTCCGATCAAAACTGTCTCGCTACCAGAAAAACTATGTCTGTTGCTTTCTCCTTCGACTTGTGGGTGAGTTGACCTAATAGTCATGATGCTGTCGACTGGGCTAGTCACAATGTAGCCGTTTGAACCGACGGTCATGTTTTCTGGGGTTCGGCCGCTCTCGGATACAGATGGCAAGACGATGCTTCGCGAGTGTGGCTGTTGTTGGGAGGAAGAGAGAAGAGATGTCGGACGGACGTGGTGTGGAGTTGAAGAGGAAGAGAGGGAGGAGGAAGGGACCCCAAGACTTTGGTGGTTGTGAGAGGTGAAATAGGAATCGACGGACTGGCTCGGACCCACGGGACGGTGACAGCCATTTGCGTGGTTCTGAATCAGTGGAAGAGAGTGTGAAACAGAAGGAGGGCTAGTGGGTATAGGGACAGGTGGGCTGGTGGAACCGAGGCTGTGGGTGGGGCTTGTATTGAGGAAGGAGTTAGACGGAGGTGAAGGAGCTGCGAAATAGTTCCCTCCGGAGGGAGTGAGCGGAGTGAGTAGGTAGGCAGAAGAGAGGTCGGAGTTTAGCAGTAGCTGCCGTCGGCCTGATGCTGCAGCGTGGAACGAAATTGGCCCGCCATGCACAGGGCTGGTGGTGATTTGGACTGTGGACCCTTGGAATGGGACAGAACCAGTTGGACTCGTGGGCACGTGGATTTGGGACCCAGGGAACACTACGGACGCTGCACTTGGGCGGACTGGGTTGGGGACATGCGTGGAATGGGCGTCTGGGTGTATGGGACTCAGCAGCATCGTCGACAGGAAGTGGGCGGAACCAGAGGGGACCCCTTCGGTTTTCATTGCCGTGGGAATGTCGGAAGAATTTCGTTTGTCCTCCATGTCAGGGACAATCTGAGCTGCTGCTGAGTCAGCATCAGAACTACTGGTACTCCTGTGTATGTTTGGGGAGAAAGGGACAGTTATCCAAATCACCATCCTCACCTCGTCGATAGGGTATACTCATATGGTGCTACCAACCCTACGCTTTGATTCATTTAATCTCTTTGTCGACTCCTACAAAGTCTGATTGTTATCAATGTACTTTTCACCATTGAGACCATGTAATAAGTTAGTCAAAAGACTACATAGTCGGATGTCGGTTAGTGCGGATGCTACACTCATATTATAGCATTGTACTGTGGACTTTATTCCTCTTCTCCTCATTTAGACTCAGGACCCATAACTAGTATCACTAAGTACGGTAGTACTTAGTATATAGGGATGACACAGGTTGTCCTGCATTATGCCCATACATTTGAGATTTTCATGTCTCACTTTTCGTAATATTGGTCTGTGTGTTGTTTGCTAACAAATGGTGGTTCACAACATGCTTCAATGACTTACACTCTACTGACGAGTCCATTGCAGGCCTCCAACGCTCTGTGAGCCGATATTCTCTTCTTTGGGTCGACCTCCATCATCTCCTTGATCAACACCACTGTTGCCATAGACACACGGTCGTCCCTGCAACCACAAAAATAAACAATATATCAGTCAGCCCTTTCCACGACACACGCAAAAATACACGCATCAATACCCCGAGTTGCATGGATATGGAAATGAGAAAACGATTCGCAATTTTCACGGATAGGGCTATATTCTATTCTTAGAAGGAGCAGTGGCTCAACCGAAAATTTGACCGAGAAAGTGCCCATCTGCAAAAATCTGTTCGCTTTTGAATGAATGGTAGATAGAGTAAGGTACTGAAAATATATGCTCCAGATGCCATCTACGGACACATTAATTACTGATCCTACAGCTCTCCAGCAATTAAGGAATTTCAAGACAGGTGACCTCGCTAAAAATCGTGGCCGCGCATCCTGTGAGGTGGGCGGACTGTGGGTAGCAGAAGAAGACCAGTTTCCTGGGACTAGATTAACCCACGCTGATCACCGTGTCGAGGGGCCACCCGTACACAGACGGACTGGCACCTCGCTGGCTGGGAACAGCTTCAGGTGTAGTTGGCACTGACCGCATAATATTATACAGCGTGGGAAAACCTCCCTTGCAGAACCAAAAGTGCTATATTACTGCAGGATATGGGGGCACGAAGGGTTCGGAGCGATTTTGCCAACACTGCTTTGAATACCGTTTTCCCAAATCTTTGGGACTTCAAATACTACATGGACACCGACCACAGGTCTAGATTGTATCAAACACACAAAACAGGCAGCCGTAAGCACACTAGTGTCTGCTTGTAAAGGTCAACAAAGGAAGGAGCAGCTAGAAAAGTAGAAACTATGTATTATGTGTGCGTGGATAAAGATGGGAAGGGGTGTATGTTTTTTGCGTATGCACCTCCCTATGGTTGTAATAGAACGGAGTGACTCAGCTCACCGAGGAATGGTGTACTTGGCGGTCTTGATTTTCCTGAATAGCTCATGAGGGTCGCTGTCATAGAAGGGGAACTGGCCATAGATCATCGTATAGAGGAGGACTCCCATGGCCCACATGTCACTGGCTTTACCACAGTATGGCTGACCTAAAGGGGGAGGAGGGGGAGGGGGAGGGGGAGAATTTGGATAAGTGCCACATGTGTAAAGATAATATGTATATTTCATTTGCAGACACACCACCCCAGGAGAGGAAAAGGGTCTGGTGGCTGGTACGTAGATGTATAGTCATGCACAAGGCTGGTAGATGTATAGTCATGCACAAGGCTGGTAGCACCACAATATTGAGTCCACAAGGATTACCACCAGTTGCCAAACTCACCACTGAGGACGTCAGGACTAACATATGCGAGACTTCCTCTCTGATCCACCAGTTCATCTCCGTCTCTCACCAGATGCTTACTCAGAACAAAGTTTGTGAGAATAACTTCCCTCGTTCTGAAGGAGAAATGAAGATGAGCAAAATAGAAAGAAGGAAAGGGGAGAGAGGGGAGAGAAGCCAGAGGGAGAGAAAAGAGGAGGGGGGGTGAAAGGCATAGCATGTGCAGTCAAAGAACACCATACAATAAGGGACGTTTAGTTTAAAACTGACTGACAAAACAGGCAGCCTGTCGCAGTGGTGTAGCCTCCATCATTACCAACATGGCTCCCAGCCATTATAAAGGTACACCTCCATGCAAAGGACTTTATCATGGCTCCTGGTGTCTCTCTATTATATAGTACGCAAGTTCCAGTGCATAGCAGCAACTGAATAAGAAGTACTGAGCTGATGTCAGTGTGTGATCTTGAGGGTATGTTTGTACACAGTAGACTGCCAGCTATCAGTCAGGAATCTACCGCACTTCACATCATTCGTGGCACCTCCTCCACTCTGAGAGGGTGTACTATAGCTGGGCCGGTGACCTCATCCTTAATGTAAACTCGTAAAGCAAACTTTACTACTCTCGTATGGTTGCACATACACATATATACTATAGTGGAACATCCTAATAAAAACAAGGTAGTTTTTATTCAACCAACTGCACACTCAGTGGAACTTATATAGCAAGCTTACATATGCACGTAATACCAGCTAAGTATGTAAACGTACCTTCGATTAAGGACCATATTCCCGAGTTTTAAATCTCTGTGAACAATGTTTTTCTGCGGAAAAGTGGAACACAAACACGCCTTAAAAATGAAGTGTTAACTGACTTCCAATCATACACCATAATGCAACTCCGGATTAGAGGGTTCCATTGTAAGTATGCCCTTTAGGCAAAGTGGAATACGGTAAAAACTCTTATAATGTACACCCAGAATAAAGGAGTTTTTTCATCTGAATGCAGGACAGACAGACACTAACACCTAATACTGTAACGATAGCTGCCAATGCAAGCCGGCACAGGCGCCCAGTGGTGGATCTACAGGATTTTTGAAAAGTTCTGCTGTCCAGAACGTTTTCGACTGCGCTCGAGGCCGGTGATGCATGCGCACAAAACGACAAAAGGGGGGTTCCGCGGAACCCAAG